TTATAACGCCATTTATTTTTTTCAAAAAGTGTGCATTATCTTTTCAGTCAAATTCTTAAATTGAATCAGTCAGTTAGAATAATAAGTCATTTGGGCTGTTACCAAGCAAATTAAATCTGTATTGACAAAATTAACCTTTGCAATGCAGAGGAAACACAGAAGCTGCATCTGAAGTGGCATTTAGATGCATTTACACACAAAACTTTAAATATATTAGGGCTGTGCGATATTGACAAAAAAACATCTCAATATTTTCTGGGATTTTATCGATAATGATAATTAGACGATATTTTGCTGAGTGTGTTATTGTGCTGATATCTTAAGGACTACCATGGACAGCTGACTCCTAAAGTTTTTGATATTCTGCATATTCTGTTTAGTGATCAGTTCACAGCAGTGATATAAATTCATCTTTTCCAATAAGTTTAAATAGATTTTTTACCTTTTATGGGCATTTTTACCTTTATAACGCCATTTATTTTTTTCAAAAAGTGTGCATTATCTTTTCAGTCAAATTCTTAAATTGAATCAGTCAGTTAGAATAATAAGTCATTTGGGCTGTTACCAAGCAAATTAAATCAGTATTGACAAAATGAATCTTTGCAATGCAGAGAAAACACAGAAGCTGCATTAAAAGGGGCATTTAGATGCATTTACACACTGTTTAATGCAGAACATGAATGTTTTAACCTGCAGTTACAAATGCATTAATACTGTTTTGATATTTTAAACATAAAACGTTGAATACTGATATTTGAAATTATAAAAAAAAGAAAAAGAAAAATACTTTAAATGTGAAATTAACGTAGTCACTGTTAATAGTGAGTCATTGCGACTGAACCGAATCATTTAAACGATTGATTCATTCAGGAAAAAAACAGCGTCATGTTGCTCAGAGGCAAATTGGAATTATATTTGTGGCGAAATAGAGCCAAAAACAGTCAATATTGTGTCTAAAACGTAAGTGTCTTAATATTAAATTCTTGTTTATTGAACTGCTGTATAAAATCAAAATAACGTCAGTCCTCGTGTGATACTGATTAACTATGAAATTATATAAATATATACATTTCTGCCCCCATATCTTGAATTTTGTGATCATTCTAAATGCATTTTAATAAACTTAATCATGCAGTGAAAGAACGCGCACTGGTCTAACCTACTAGTTTGCTAAACTTTAGCTAATTTACATTGTAGCTCTCATGAGTCATGGATGTTAGCAAGACAAATGAACTATATTTGTCTTTTGGATAATTAGCTGTAAATTCGAGGCACCGGTAGCTTAGTCTTTTGTTCACCACCACTCACTTCCACAGCAAGACAAACACAACTGGAAAGGGAGGGAGGGCTTCACTTCTGCGGCTCCGCCAGTGATGTGCATTTGTCGATCAATATGTGCTGTGCTGCAGTGCTGCGCCTGCGCGGAGGGGAGAAAGGCATCGGAACTCGACAGTCTCAACATTTCCTGACCCGACCTGATATTTAGATTTTTTTTATTTGTTTGACAGGAAAAGCTGTGCGCAAACAGAAACATACGCACACATACACATATTCATTTATCAAAATAATAAAAAATAAAACTCCCCAGAAAAAAGGGCACTTTCTCTCAGGGAAGAAAAAGGGCAGGTGCTCAAGCCCCCTTTGATGTCTATGAGTGCACGTGCCTGATTATTATTATTATTATTATTGTTGCTGTTGTTGTTAATTAACTAATTAAATTGATTAAATAAAATAATAAATAAAATAAAATAACCTCTCTTAATTTTCCATTTCAAAAACTACTGTTTCTGATTTTGTATTTTTTAAACAAAAGTCTTAATAAAAAAAAAAAAAGTGTCTTTAAGTGTCTTAATTTTAGCAACAATTCTGGCAGGAATATTTTACCTTATATGGGTGTATATAGTGTAAGTGTTAGACAATGAGGGTCTTCGAGTTGAAAAGGTTGAGAACAACTGCCCTAGCAACACACTAAAAACACTCAGAACACTACAGTAACTGCATAACAACACCCTGGCAACCAGCCATAACACCCTGGCATCATGGTGGCAACTTTTGCATGGGCAAGCACCATTTAGTTATTCCATATTCTATATGTAAATTGTTGCATTTGAGAATAAATGCAAGTGATGATTTAACGTGATGAGGATTGATCTAACTAATGCCGCTGTTGTTTACCAAGCATTTGGGTGAACACACAGGCAGCAGATGGAGAGAGAAATTACATGTTCTCTTTAGACTGCGTTCAGCTGCTTGGCATGATTTCAAATAGACAACAACAAGATGAGGACAAAACTAAAGCCTGTGGATATGTGTATTTTCGAGAAGGAAGCGCCAGCTGCAGCCAGACCCTTTTGGTATTTTCTAAATGCCAGTAAAAGGAAAAAAAGCCTTTTATTTGTATCCCTGCAAGATTTTAGCTTTGGTAAACATGCAAATTGTACTCTACACAATTCTCTCTTTGCCAGTGTTTCTATGTCTATCATTTCACGATAATCAGTTATGGATACTAACCTCAGACTACATCTTTTCTGAATTCAGCTTGTGATTTTCTTTAATTTACAGGAGAAAGGTAATTACTGTCTAAGTTCTGCTGTTTTGCTCAGATATGGGGATTTTATCACTGTTATTCAGGCTGAATCATTTGATCTGATATGGACTCTAATCTGTATGCATTAACAGTTCTGGCCTAATTGCTTTTCATGGTACATACTGAGACCTACTGGCGTGAGAGTAGTGTGTGGTCAGAGCTCTCTATTCATCAGATAGTCTGCAAATACTGGCATGGAGGAATAAAATATGACCTCTTTATTATTGTTTTCTAGGGTAAATGTCATAAATTATTACACAGACCTCTGGAATTCTTAATACTTGACTTTATCCCACTGTCAAATATTTCGGAATAGAGACTGCTAACCTTGAAAACACTGTAAAGCTGACCACTCATCCGGAAACATCTGTTTCTCACAGATCTCTTTCTTATGACATAATACAACAATTTCAATTCAAAATAAATATTTCATGTCCATTTATTTATTTGGTAAACAACCATGTGTTAAAGGAACAGTGTACCCCAAAATAAAACTTATGTATGACGATATTTTGAAGAACGTTGTGGTCAAAGCAACACTGGACCCATTGTGCATTATGTTCCAACAAAGAAAGGTTTGAAATGACATGAAATTTAAGTTAAATACATTGCAATGTATTATATATATATGCATAAATAAGAAAATATTAATTCACTTAAAAAATAATAATCCAGATAATTTACATCTAGATAATTGTAAAATTAATTTTAACAATTAAATTATCTGCAATGAATGATTTATGTAGATAAAGAAACAAAACAGTTATATTTCTGCTCAAGTGTCCACATATATGAAAGCTACATCAGTAAAGGACAGTAAGAACATGAAAGAGACAAACAAGACAACAACTGCATTTTAAATCAAAGGATCCATTAAGCATCAGGGTCTGTGTCTCAGAAAGGAAGATGCATGCTTTCATCTCTTTACCCGGAACACTGTAGGATTGGAATAATGAAATAATTCTAAGCACATTCATATTAGAAGGGAAAGTTATAACTAATCATGTAATCATAAGCATAGGGAATTACAGATGTCATTGTTGGCAGATCATTAAAAACTGACTGTCAACCCAATATTAAATCCAACTTCAACAAAGTAAGTAAACCTCAAATGAATAGAGTCTAAAAAAAATCATTATGGCTGGGCAGCAGTTGTTTCTGGTGGCCATACTTGTGGTTGTCTGTCTCTATTGCTCTCTCATCCTTAACCCATTTGGGTCAATAAAAGGGCCTTGGGCATGGGAAACATACTTAGAAGTACTCTGTGGTGTGTGTGTGTTTGTGTGTGTGAGGGCAGGAAGTAAAAAAAAAAAATCACTTTGCCTACAGCATCATCCTCACACACAGCACCTATTAGGGAGTTTAACATCAAACCAAGCACGTGCTTTCTGAAGGGGTCAAAGGGTTATGTAGCCTCTTCTATGTAATACGATTCTGACTCTCAAAACACCTTGAAGTTCCACTATAAAATATTATAAACAACCTGATTTGGAAATTAATGTAGATTTAATTCCAGAGATAATTACAACTCACGTACTTAAATTAGCATTATTCAGTGAGGAGGAGAGACCGTCAGCCACTGAAACAAATATACTGCACAAATATTTATTAATATTGTTTATTGAATTCTTTATTATATAATTTATTTATTATTTAGAATAGACTATCTAGTAGACTTTTATTTTATATTTTATATATAAACTTTATATTTTTACTTTATACATATTATAATGTGTGTCTAAAATATTATTCTTTCGCAGTTGGAATTTGTGATGCCTTTGAATCTGAATTACAGTCATTATTATAATAATAATAATAATAATAATAATAATAATATGAAGTATTTTAGCTTAGTTTTAGGTTGTTGTACAAAATAAAAGTGCTAAAACTTAAAAATCAATATTGAAATATAGTATGAGATAAAATTTGTTTTACTGAATTGACCCTTTGCAAAGACCCCCCCCTTCAATACTATTGCTATGTCCGACAAGCCATGGCACTCTCACACCACACATCATGTTCTCACGTGGTGAAAAATACATCGCAGAGCAAAGAGGAAACTGATAACGCGCTGACAAACAAGGCAGAGCAGGTTACTTAAGACTCAACTTTCAATTTTTTTTATTTTTTGAAAGAAATTCAAACAATAAATACCGTTCTGTGGCTCTTTAATGTGTCATGACAAATCTTTAAAATGACTAATGCACATTACCATCTGGATGAAGACATCATATACTCAGCTGATCAATATATTTTATTAAAAAGGGCTGCTTCCTGATCCATCCTTTCAGATATCTACTGTGGGCCCAAAGGCTCTTTCCTGTGTATTTCTAAAAGACTTTTACTGCACAAAACCAAGTGTGATGGGAATTTGCTTGAGGAGAAACAGAGACACACAGAAAGACAAAAATACCTGTCAGGTTCTTGAGGCCGAGTTGTCTAAGACCGAAGTAGCCATCTCGTCTGTAGTTGAGAAAGATGGCCAGAGCATAGCGTCCTTCGTACAGTTTAGCGCCACGAATGATCCGCAGGTTCTCCAGAGGAAGATTGTCAAACTGATTCAGAGCCACCAACACGTAACCCGTCACCTCACGGATGGACTACGGAGATATAGATAAAAATATTTTCTGTTAGACGTGATTCGCAATTTAAGCAAAAATCCATGGTATTTAATTTGTCCTTTTTATGAAATGTAGCTAAACGTATGCAGAATTTATTCTCACAGGATATCACTTTAAAGCTCTTTTGGCAGAGATTTGTCCTCTGCTTTCGGTTCCATAAAGACTCGATGCCCTCGGCCATCATGGCAACTGAGCAGCCCCAAACGGACGACTAACGAGACAGCCTTGATATAATTTGAAGAGATAATGGCCCAAGAGAGCGCTGGACCCTCCCTCTCCACACCCACATCAATCATGTTGACATCCAATCACTGTTTCATACTGCGTATCATTAGCAGGCACAGAGGACAGGTGTATTTTATGCAGAAGAAGTGAATATGATATAGCTGTAGTGATCGGACACACATACTGGAACTATATGGAAATCCATCTGAAGAGCTAACCAAGCACACACTGACAGCTGTCACCTACCCATCAGGATCACTGGAAGTCCACATGGTGACACTCTGCAAGAGATTATTATACCGCGCTCTTGGATACTGGATTCTGATTGGTCAATAATAAAATGACTGCTAAATATTTAGCATTAAAGAGATAGTCAACCCAAAAACTGAAAATTCTGTCATCATTTACTCACTCTCATGTCGTGTATGACTTTCTTCCATCTCTGGAAAATAAAAGAAGGTATTTTGAAGAATGTTGGTAACCAAAGAGCTTCGGTTTCCATTGACTTCCATTGTATGGACAAACAAACACAATGGAAGTCAATGGGAATGGAATGGGAGGGAAGGAGGGAGGGAGGAAGGAAGGAAGGAATCTCTTTAATGCCATATATAATTTTTTTTTGAACATACAGCATGGTAATACCATGGTAAATATTCAGTACCATGATATATCTCAAATTAATGTAGTATTTCCATCAGATACAATCACTCTACTATAATACGGTAATACTGTAGTAGTTTCTGTCTTTTTGTGAGTCTTAAGAAGTTTTAGGATAATTATTATGGAGGAGTCCATTCAATTCAAGCCACCTGTGTGTGTTACAGTTGTTAGTAGATAAAGTAGTCTTAAATCTAGCGTATCCCATAGTGTGGGCAGAAACTACGATTCCCATTGTCTTCACATGACATGAGAGACAATGAATAGAGGAAGAAGTCCGTAATCAGTAATTACCTTGATTATACCTTTCATACCGGCTGACTGATGAGGAACAAATAATAAATCAAAGCGACACACTATTGAAAAACAAAAACAAACTTAATAACTCTATTTTTCAGTGCACTACTAAACAGAAAATAAAAATCCTTAGAATTGCTATGCTAGATGTTTTTCCCCAATGCTTTCTCATTTATGTATTTGCACCTTGTTGGCTTTGTACTTAGGGCTGTCAATTTAGCATGTTAATCTAATTAAATATTTACAGAAAAAATAATGCATTAAAAATTTTAATGCATTTAACACCTTGCCCCATGTACATCATCTTACATTCCATATGGTGTGTTTGAGATCGATCGGATTTGACATCAGATCGATCGGTGTTTGACATCAAAGTACTGTGAGAGCGATTTGAAAGCATGCAGAGCTGTCTGCTCTCTAGAGCTCTCGCAGTACTTTGATGTACACTGGTTGGTCTGCGCAGCGCTGCTTCAAGAAAAATTCACCTATAGATCTTTTGCATCAGAGAAACAAGTGAAACAAGCCATCTTTAGAATTCTGTCTTTGAACGTCCATTTTTGCGGTAGCTCAGCATCACTGTTGAAGAGTAATTAGCTGGTGAAGTGGATTTAGTTATTATATGTAAGTTATCATGTGCATTGTAATGTTCGAAACGGATGTCATAGCAATTTTCAGTAGACTGGGAAGATTTTAAATTGAGCGACTATCTACAGTATACCACGGTTGGGCAACTTCATTCCTGTAGGGCCACTGTGCTGCAGAGTTTAGCTCCAACCTTAATCAAAGACACCTCAACAAGCTAATCAATGTCTTCAAGATCACTAGAACGCTACAGGTAAGTGTGTTTGATTGGGGTTGGAGCTAAACTCTGCAGGACAGTGGCCCTCCAGGACCGAAGTTGCCCAGCCCTGATCTATAGTCGATTGGAGCCTGTAGAATGCAGTTATATAACTATAAAATTCAAGCGATTGGGGGAAATGCCCCGTATGAGTTTTTGTCTCATATTTATATCATATAATATAGTTAATCAATATCACACGAGCAACGAGTACAATACCACACGAGTGCTGTTTTGTCTCAAATAAAATGAGTGAAAATGTGATATTGACTTCATATAACAGTTCAATAAATAAGATTATTTATTAAAATAAGATTATTTAACATTTTAGACACAATATTGTCTGTTTTTGCCCAATTGACCCTTCACCGGGAGTTTGATTGACAGGCGATCTGACCAATCATAACGCCGAATCTGCCATTTTGTCCGACAAACAAACCAGACAGGTGAGTAGATTAAGGTCGGTGGACTTGCACTTGAAAAATGGTGTATTGACGTCTTTCTGCGGTTGAAACAAGATACCTTCTGATGTTCATTCATGTTTATTTCATGCTATAACTAGTAAAGAGGAAGAGATGATTGGTTCACTTGCTGTTTAAACTGAGGCACTACAGCGATTTGTCATGACACGAATCAAATGAATGAATGAATGAATGACTCAGTGACTTAAGACATTTACCACCAACTACTGGCAGTTTCTTGTTTAGAGTTTCATTAATTTCATTAGTTTCAATAATTTCATATTTATATAATAATAAAAAAAATCTGAACATAAAAATAAAAAAATCCATATTAATAAAAAAAAATAATTAAAAGGGTAGTTCACTTAAAAATGTAAAATGAAAAAAGAAAACAATTCTTTATAACGCTACTTTTTGTAATATCTATTTCATGCTTTTCTCATGTAACACAATCATAGCTAAAAATGATCTTTTGTGGGTAATTTCTCAGCCAAATTTGATGTGCGATTAATATGTGATTAATTAGATTAAAGGGATAGTTCACCCAAAAATTAAAATTCTGTCATTAATTACTCATGTCGTTCCAAACTTGTAAGACCTGTTCAATAACATCCACCAGTGTCAATAATAATAAAAATAATAATAAAAAAAAATGGATATTTTTATTTTATATATTTATTTTTACCCCTTTGGGATAACAATCACTGATGAATTGTTCACAAAAATACTACCAAAATGCATTAAGAAAGATACTGTGAATAAATACAGCTAATTTTGTTAAACACATTTCCACTACATGACTGATTGAGCTATTGATAATGTTTATCCTAACCTGTCAAGTAAATAAAACATTCCAAAATTATATCAAAATCTTAGCACAGGAAAAGTAAAATATTCAATAAAGACTGAGTCAACATATATTACTGTTCAAAAGTTTGAGATCAATTAAAATAATTAATACTTCAGTTCAGCAGGATGCCATAAATTGATGAAAAAAAGTGACAGTAAAGACATTTATTATAATCTCAGAAAAGAGTTATATTTCTAATTAAACTTTAGAACAGTATTGTACATCTGTAAAGTGCATACGTAAAACTACACATATTTTTTATTACTTTCAAAATCTCACTGGCGGTCACCTTTATACCTAGAAATATCATATTAGAAGCTTGGAGATATGTAACACTGCTTCAACATTAAAGGACAAACACCTCTCGGCGCAAGCTGCTATCACACAGCAAAGACACAATAGGTCACAATCTCTCACCTCACACAGAGAAAAATTGCCTTCCTTCGCATACTTTTAGCTAAAATTGCAGTAATGAGCCAAATGGACTCACAGAAATCAAACACACCCACATCCCAAATGCTCTCTCACGTTATACACCTGCATATTTTCCTCCACGCATCATTACAATTTTACATTTGTTTGTACATTTTGCAGCGGGTATTCATGGGGTTCAGTCATGGAGTTCAGTTTCAGTTTATTCATGGGGTTCATGTAGAGTTCAGTTTTATACATTCATCTTCACACTAATCACACTGACTTTAATGTGTTGCCTGAAAAAAAGAATGCCAGCATGACTCAGTCTCTCTGAATGAGCAGCTGAAAAATAGCTGGACTTTGCTAAAGTAAAGGTGCCATATTCTGTACTTTTGTAGCATTTTATGCAGCCAATACTCCAGTTTTTAGTGCCATTTGATCCTTCAGAAATCAGATGCTTAAGAAACATTTATTATTATTATCACCAACGCTGAAAACAGCTGCGATGCTTAATATTATTGTAGAAACCATGGTAGCCTACATTTTTTCAGGATTATTTAATGAATAAAAAGTTAAAAAGAACAGCATTTATTTGAAAAATGTATATTTTGTAACATTATACATGTATTTACTGTCATTTTGATCAACTTAATGCATTTTTGCTAAATAAAAGTATTAATTTATTTTTAAAAATGTAAAAATAAATGAATAAAAAAAAAAACTATGGTTAGTGCAGTTTCTCTCAGGGACTTATATTAAATATGAATATGAAAGTACATTTATTCTGCAGAAGCTAACACTAGGTTAACAACCTCAGAATAAGGCCTTGAAATGTTAATAAGATTTTAATTTTCTTTTTAAGTTCCTTTTTGAGACCTTTACTTCTGGAACCATACAGTTGTAAGTAATATAGACCAATTTGGAGTAGACGTCACAGTTCCCTTTCAGTCGGTCACTACGAGTCACGTCGTGACCGACAAATTGGGATCTCGCTTAGAGAGACCAATCCATTTTGAGTGCAAACTAAACGAGCCAATGCACATTGGTATGCGATGATTGCATCCAGCTGCTGCTGATCACAGCGTGAACATAAAAAGGCAGCTGGTGCAACGCATACCAGCTTTTCGCTTCGGAGCCGAGTGACAACATCGTTCTGCTCCTACCAAACTGCTTTGTGTGTGACGAGTCTAGTGCTCTCGGGAGCTTTTTGTGTTGGCGGAAGGTGCTTCAGCGGTGG